TGAGTCCTCTGGTGAATCACCAGGCTGGAATTCTGACTGAAACTTTTCTCACAATCCGGACACTCATATGGTTTCTCTCCTGTGTGAGTCCTCTGGTGTATCACTAGCTTGGAATTCTGACTAAAATTTCTCCCACAATCACAACACTTGTATGGTTTCTCTCCTGTGTGAGTCCTCTTGTGTACCACCAGGCTAGAATTGTGAGTGAAACCCTTCCCACAATCGCAACACTTATATGGTTTCTCTCCTGTGTGAGTTCTCTGATGATCCACCAGGGTGGAATTCTGACAGAAACCTTTCCCACAAACTGGACATTCATACGGTTTTTGTCCTGTGTGAATCCTCTGATGTGCCACCAGATTGGAATTCTGACTGAAACTTTTCCCACAATCTTGACACTCATATGGTTTTTCTCCCGTGTGAGTCCTTTTATGTATCACCAGGTCAGAATTCTGCGTGAAGCTTTTTCCACAATCCAGACATTCATATGGTTTCTCTCCTGTGTGAATCCTCTTGTGTATCACCAGGTCAGAATTCCGTGTGAAACTTTTCCCACACTCTGGACATTCATATGGTTTCTCTCCCGTGTGAGTCCTTTTGTGTATCACCAGTTCAGAATTCCGTGCAAAGCTTTTCCCACAATCCGGACATTCATATGGTTTCTTCTTAGTGCGAGTCCTCTTGTGTCTTACCAGATTGGTCTGCATGCTAAATCCTTTATCACATTGGGAGTACTGATAGAGCTTGTCTTTAGTATTGGTCCTTCCAAGAATCATGAGGAAGATTTTTTGAGTAAATCTCTTGCCGCGCTTGCAATATTTGTATGGGTTTTCATCAGCTAAGATCTGCAATCTGTGTTTTTCCCACAATAGGCAGTCTGTGTGGTTTTTCACACACTGATATTCATGAACTCTTCAGGAAGCCAAAAATATTTCTGATCTATTACTTGGAGGTTCTTTTATTCAAGTCATTCTTTCCTTTGTCAAAGATTTTCATTAATACCTGTCCATTTTGGCTATCCAAGGAACCTTTTCTTTTCACTGACTTTCAATTGTTTCCACTTTTTTGTTTTTCTGATATTATCCCCCTTGACTTCTTAGATAATGTTTGCTTCAGTTGCACATACTCTACTTTTTCCAGCTCAAAACTTTGTTCTTGTTATTCTTTCCCTTGTCTTTCATCTGCTGAGGAAGGAGAAGAGGTTTTACACTTTCTGGAGGAAATGGAAAAAAATCTTGATTGAAGGCTTGGTTTGCATTTTAAGGCTGCTTCTCATTCTCTGTTGTCCAGAGTGCTCTTCTTGGCATCCTCTTCGTCTGTAAGAGTCATATTAATGGGTTAATTTCATTATTATTTAAAAATTTGCTGTAGGACATGTGAAAGCAACAAAAAAACCCAATCCTCACATATTACCATAAAGGAAGAAATATCAAAGTTGTAGTTTCAGCTCTAACATTAACTATGATTCATTTGGCATGTAGACGACTACCAAGTTCAAGAAGATCCAAGTTCAAATATCAACTCAATCACAAAATTATTATTGTTTTTGCTTGGGTCAATCACACATACATGTATGCCTACATTTTTTTAAAAAAAAAAAAACCACCTCATTTATGTATAAAATCTATCTGCATTTCAGTATGAAAAATGTCCTAGAAGTGCATTCAATTTTTTTTGATCTACATTTAGAAATGTGGAGACGCTAACAGACGAAACGGTGCCCAAATCCTATGCACGATTAAAACCATCCATTTTACCCAGGAGATTCCTCACTTGCCCGGAAAACAACATGACAATAATATGTCAAGGAATCAAGAGACTGAGAGAGATGGGCAGGTATTAAATATAAAAAAATAAAGATTTTTTAAAAAATCTCCTACGTGCCATTTTCAGAGTAGAGCTGGAAGGGTCCTTTTGTGGGTCTTCTACCCCATTCCCTTACTCAAGCAAGAGACCCTATTACCATTTCAGAGGCTGTCCCCTCTCTTTCTAAAAACCTCCAGCCATGGGCCCCCCAGAAGATCTGAAGGCAAAGCTGTTCCACTGCTTAACTGACCTCACTGCTAGGAAGTTTCTCCTGAATTCCAGGTTGCTTCCCTCCTTGATTAGTTTCCAACTTTTGTTTCTTGTCTGGCACTTTGGAGAACAATTTGACCCCCTCTTCTTTGGGGCAGACCCTCAAATACTGGAATACTGATGGGTTTCCATCCATTGTTTCGTGTCCTGCCATGTGGTGCTTTGGGAATAAACTGACCCCCTTCTTTTTGTGGCAGCCCTTCAAATACCGAACTACTACTACTACTATCATGTCCCCACTAGTCCCTCTTTTCTCTAGACTGAGCCAAACCCAAATCCTACAACCGCTGTTCATATGTTTTACTCCCCAGGCCAGGGGTCTTCAAACCTGACAGCTTTAAGACTTGTGGACTTCAACTCCCAGAATTCCCCCTCCAGTCACGTTAGCTCAGGAATTCTGGGAGTGGAAGTCCACAAGTCTTAACCTTGCCAAGTTTGAAGACCCACTGGCCCCAGGCCTTTCAATTTGGGTCTCTGCCATTTCCCAGCAGAAAATTACAGGCAGCAGATTTAAATCATGCACAGCATTGAACGTAATAACATTCGTGGAGGGAAAGAACGTGGCGGCAGCAGCAACAGCAACCCACAACTTTCAGCCTTGTTGCTTCTCTGCTTTTACCGCGTGGAGGAAACCAAAGAGCTCCTGGCTTCTCTTCCTACCTGCCCTAAAACTTACCTTCCAGCTGTTGCTGCTGCTACTGCTGCTTCCGCCCTGGGAAGAGTACGACAGTCGTACTCCAGGCCTCCATCCTCCCCTGGGTGAGCCAGAAGAGGAAGTGTCTCTACTCTTCTCCTCAACATCCTTTCTAGCAATACTCGATGGTTTTAAACTCCTTTCGCTTCAGCTGCGCCCCATTCCCTTGGATGTCGCAACTCAGCCAAGGCGTTCTGGGCACTGGTGTTGTGTTACAGCACCACCTAGTGACATGAACCTGAAAATACGCTCATTCTGTCTCTTATCAGGAGACAGAATTCCTCCCCCCTCCCCTTAAATCAGGGGTCCCCAACCACCGGTCCCCGGACCGGTACCGGACCGTGGATCATTTTTTACAGGGCCGCAAAGCTTGGGCGCCGCCATCTTGTTTCGACGGCGCTTCCAGGTTTTTGGTTGCTTCCGGGTTTTTGGTTGGAAAGTGGCGTTTGGGTACTCGCGCCTTAGTTTCGTCCAAGGGGGGGTGCGGCTTTGAACGAAGAGCCGTCCCGATGGCGGTGGAGTCTCGCGTTACTCAGGTACCGGTCCGTGGAAAAATAAATAATCGTGAAACCGGTCCCTGGTTCAAGAAAGGCTGGGGACCACTGCCCATGAATGGTCACTGAATGGTTGGCAGTTTGGGACTACAACTCACCTTCTGTTTGCAGCTCTGACTTTGCCACCCGGACAGGACTGTGCAGGAGGGAAAACACCTGAGCTTTCCTCAGTCTGGGTTCAGGCTGGGGCACATCACCTGTTGGAAGAAAAATCCATGTGGTTCACGTCCAAGCTGGGAATAAAATAAAATGGAGGCTGATTGGAAAGAAAGTTTGACGATGAACGCGACCAATAGCAGAACTGGGACAGCTGACAAAAGGGAGTTGAGAGTGGGCGGGTTTTTATACATTCTTTGGGCTTTGTATTTCAGCTTCCTGTTCCTGTGCAAAAACTTGTCCTTTAATACGCTATTGGCTGTCGTCAGATTTCTATGGGATCATGGCTGGCTCTATAGGCAAAAGGGAAAATGCAAATCCTTAGTACTTATCTGAGCTAATCCTGTCAACTTTTGGTTTGCCTAACTGCTTATTTGGAGTTTCCTGTCTGACCCAGTCTTTCTGTATGGATTACCAAAACTGCATTTCTAAAAGCTGGCTTCTTCCATTTCTATGTTAACGATGGCATGTAAAGAAAATTTATACAAATGTTTTATAGGCGGCATTTGCCACCTGTGAGATTAGCAAAGATGTATGAAAACTTACCTGCTAAATGTTGGAAATGTAATCAGATACCAGGTTCATATTATCATATGTGGTGGACATGCTCAAAGGGCAAAAAAAAATATTGGACTAAAATACATACTTGGTTAGAAAAAATGATAAAGCAACGCATAAGATTTGAAACCAGAAATATTTTTGTTGGGTATACTACCAGAACAGCACAATTAAAAAGAAAACATACTTAATTTTACATGTATTAACGGCGGCAAGAATTGTGTTTGCACAACAATGGAAAAACAAAGAGATTCCAACAGATGAAAGTATTATTTTTTAAAAATGTGCTGAGATGGATAAATTAAAACTTAAAAGTAAAGAAAAAGAAGATACAGAATAATTGTTAACATGGGACTTGTTTCACTAAGGGTTAACTAATAGAACAGAGGTTAGAACCTAAAAAGACCCCAAAAGATCAGAATTTTTTTGCCACTGAAAATTTTATAAGATGGACAAACTAACTGTATTACTATTTTGTGATTAATACTGATATGTCTATTATGATTACTATTATGATTAATGTTGTATCTCTACTTAAAACTGACTGTGCCCAGACAAGACGCTGTTCAGATATGGAATTTTATATTTGTATTAAAAATGTGTCATATATATATATATATACGATACACACACACACACGATATAAAAATGTCCATTTCTCCTTTGGGGAAATATATTTTGTCTCTTTTAATATTCCACAAATATTTCATTCCTGGAGCAGGCAGGGGAAGGGGTTGTTTGCTGACTTCCTACACACCAAAACGCCATTGGTCCCAATTCTCATAGACTTTTGGAGGGTTTGAGATAGACGGGGTAAAATCATTGTGTACCTCATAGACCCTCCCCCGCCAATCCGGTTTCAATACCATTGACCAGGATATCTGTCAGCTGGTGCTCCGTTCTAAATCCAGGAAAGAAATACTTAGACTCTTGTAATTAGAGGAAAGATGTCTTTTACTGGAAGTCAGTGGTAGCAACAAGAAAATTCTGAATCTGGGTAATTAGGCACGCACATCACATATATCAAGGAAGTGAAATGTTCCCACCCCCAACAGTTCAAACGGTTCTTCCAGTTAAAAGTTGTGGATCATGCGGATATCTCCAGGTGGTGATGATTAGTTGACCTTGGCTTACTCAGATAAAGGTTTGCAGTTGCACAGAGAAGAGAAAGCTAAGCAGGAATGAGAAACCCTCCCCAGTTTATACAATATTAGTTAGCAACATTCGCAGCTTACATCCCATATATTTCCCCCTTCCACCCCCCGTTACTCATGGCAGCCAGAAAGAAGGAAAGGAAAGGAGGAAGATCTTGAAGAGGACCAGCTTTCGGGACTGGAAATGGGAGGCATTTTATTACTGTAGTTCTACAGATACAGATAATCAGAGTTGGAAGGGACCTTGTAGTTCATCTAGTCCAACCCCCAACCCGAGCAGGAGACCCTACACCCTACTCCTGCCTCCATGGCCGGTTCCAATGTGGGTAGAAGTGGCCAAGTCTTGACCCTGATATTTGAGATGCCCCAGGGCCCAAGCCTATTGCTGATGCTTTTTAACATCCACAGGATTTTTGCTAGGGAGGCCATCCATACTATGCAACCCAATTATGTGGATGTAGTCCGGGAGATATATAACACGATCAAAATTCAGAAACGAGGCAATCGAGTCTTTGTTTGTGACAGTTACAGGGTGTCCTGGGGGTCATGCGATCACCTTTGGGGACTGAGCTTTTGCACAATCTGGCAGTCCTCCTGGACTCACGGCTCCTGCTTGAGGGGATCTTGACTGGGGGAGGGGCTTTGCACAGATTCATCTGGTGCACCGGTTGCGCCCTTCCCTGGACCAGGAAGGGCTTGCATAGTGGGTCATTCTTGCCTTGGTCACCTCCTGTTTGGATTACTACCCTGGGCCATCCGGAAACTTTTAACGGATCCAGAACGCAGCGGCACGCACCGTAATGGCAGTTCCTAGATTGCACGCGTTAACATCTTTGTGGCATGAGCTGCGCTGGATTCCTTTCTTTCAGGCGCAATTCTACATGCGGATCATCACCTTTAAAGCTATTTCTTTATTATAGCAAAATAGCATTTAGACTATATGCCACCCCACAGTGCTTTATATCACTCTCGGTCTAGAGTGTCAGCGTATTGTCCCCAACAATCTGGATCCTGGTTTTACTGACCTCAGGAGGACGGAAGGCTGACACAACCTCGAGCGCCGCCATCAGGATCGAATTTCAGGCAGTGGGCAGTCAGCCAGCATCAATATCTAGACCACCAAGACAGCTGTCATTGCTGCCCCATCTTTCGTTCTTTTTACATCTGTTCTACCAAGTCAGACAGGATGGACACGCTGCTAGACCCTTCCCTTAAATATTGCCATCAGATAGGAGCTAAGAAGTGTTCTTTTCCATTGTAAACCCTGAGCTATGAAACACTTCCCTCGTGGAAGTATGGCAAGTGTTTATCCTCCTGGTCTTCTGTAGAGCAAGGAGGTTCTAATTGTTCTCCTAAAGACTGGGATAAGAAGAGCTGCTTCATTTGGAACCTGGTCTTTGTTTACATTTGTTACATTTATATGCTGCTAATCCTGCGGTTAACTTCTCCAATTTGACTCCTAGCAAGGAGAACTATAACCCGTTTTGAGCAAGAAAGGCACCTGACATGAGCACAGTTAGTAAGGCCAGAAGGCCAGGTTAAGTTCTAAATTGAACAAAAGCAAGAATCGCCTTTTTGAGATTCCCAGATTATAAAAATTCCACCAACCTGGCTAGAAGGGCCGTGTATTTGCAGGATTACATTTTAAATGTGGAGGCTTTGCATTTTGCCATTGGCAATACATGGGGTTAAGGTATTAAGGTTTTATTGCTGTAAACTGTATGGAGTTAGGCTGCCATACACATTTTTTTACTGAATAAAAATGCATATATACCTACATACTGAACAAAAAGACATAATGATGGATATGTGTCTTTATATCTCCCTTTATTATATGTAGAAATAAGTCAAGGTGGCAGACATTCTTAATACAGATTCTATTCTATTCCTGTTCTATCCTTGTTTCATTTAAAAGAATCATGCAAGAAATTAAATGTTAAACTGCTCAGCTGGGTTTCAAACAGAGACAAATAACAAAATTCAAGATTCCTCTATACACATCAAATTTTGCCTCAAGTGCAATTTCTTATGATAAGGGAGGAATTTTGTGCAAAACAATCTTTGACTGCAAAGATTGGGTATTTGAATGGTTGTAAGTTTAAATGCTATTGCTATATGTAGGAAGCACATCACAATAGTAACTTTAACTTCTGTGACATCAACTTGGAAACTCTGCACCAAGTGGAAGATCAAACAGGTTCCTGACTAATTTAGCAGACAATTGTGTCTCCAAAAATGTAGACAAGGAAACTATGGGATTAGTCACACTGGACTTAATTCTCACTAACAGAGATGCAATAATAGAAAGTACAGAAACCTTGGTGTGTGTGTGTGTGTGTGTGTGTGTGTGTGTGTGTGTGTGTGAGAGAGAGAGAGAGAGGGAGAGAGAGAGATCATGCAATATTGGAATTCAACATTATACAAGTGCAATCAATAGAACAAAGTCAATAGAACAAAGTTAAGACTCTAAGAGAGATAATTTCAATAAACTTAAAGCTTGGGAAGGATTCCATGGATGAGAATCCTCAAGGGGAAAACAATCCACAAAGCTTGGGAAATTTTGAAAAGTGAAATTATAAAAGCCCAGTCTAACACAATACCAATGAAGAAGAAAAATAACAGGTCTCAAAAGAAACCAGCATGAAGAACTCTCTGATAAATTGAAAGATAAAAAAGACAAGTATAAAAAATGGTAATAGAGGCACATAACTGAGGCAAAATATCAGCAAATAGCTGGGCCTGCAAAGATGAAAATGAACTAAGGCTTAGCTCAAAATGAACTAAGGCTTGCGACAAAGTTCAAAAATAACAAAAAACAAAAAAGCTGCTTTCAACCTATAAAAAAACAAGAAAAAAGTCAAGGAAACGATTGGCTCATTACTGGGAGAAAGTGGCAAGAAGGTGACAACCAACAGGGAGAAAGCTAAACAACAGCTTAACTCTTTTTTTGCATCCATCTTTACACAAAAGGAAAAAAACAGTCCAAACTATCAAAAACAGTATCATAAAAAACAGATCAGGAAGAACAGTTAAAATAAACAAGAAAATGGTAAGTGAACACCTGACCACCCCAGACATCTTCAAATCACCAGGACCAGATGGATTACACCCCAAGGTTCTGTGGGAAGTGGCAGATGTGATCTCAGAACTACTGAACTATATCTTTCAAAGATCCTGGAGCATTAGGGAACTACCAGAGGATTGGAAAAGTGCTGATGTAGTTCCCATCTTCAACAAAAGAAAAAAAAAATAGATCCAGGAAACTACAGACCTATCAGCCTGCTCTCAATACCTGGGAAGATTCTGGAAAAGATAAGCAACAAATCAAC